AGTATCACTACGGAAGTAGGATTGCCCAACCTTCCTTCCGAGGAGTGGCTGGTGGGTTTGAACCGCCAGCCTTCTGGTTAGCAGTCAAGTGACTTAGCCACTATGCTACCAGAGTACTGAACATAAGTATATGAAAAGACACTCAAACTCTCTAGCAATCAGAGAAACTAAAGTTAAAATGAGATACTACTTCTAAAGCCGTTAGATTGACAAAATTGTACAGCTTGTTTATGGCAAGGTTGACAAGGATATGGGCCAAACTGTAGGTGCTCCAACAACTCTCAAGTACTGCTAGTAGGAATGCATAATGGAAAGCTATCTAACACTGCTTCATTAGATTAATTATACATATACCCTATGATTCAACTATTCTGCTCTTATGTATATTGTCCATAGAAATTCTCACATAGGTCAAGAAAAAGACACGTGTGAGAATGTTCATTGCAGCTTTAGCTATGATTATGGGTGCTTAAGGCAATCTGTTTGTCCATTATTAGGAGAATGAATAAGGAAAATGCAGTGGAGTCACAACATGGAATACTGTGCAGCTGTTAAAAGCAATGGATTACATGTAAATACAGTATAGCGAGATGGATGAATCAAAAAAAAAAAAACAATAATAAATGAAAACAGTAAAATACACAATATACATTTTGCAAGAACTCATAAAAACTAACACATATACAGTAAACACATCAGAATGGTCTATACACAGAAAGTGAACAAGAACAGGGCATCTGCATAGAAATAAAAACAAGTAAGTAGCTGTCATTTCCTCTGAGAAGTCTTCTTTGTCCACTTTATCTAACAGAGATTGTCTTACTGTTTTCTTTATAGCTCTTATTTTTGTTTCTTTCCTAATATTTATTTCAATTTATAGTTTTTCTACGTTATTTGTTTTTTGACTGCTTCCCCATAAAATGTGGGATTTATGAAGGCAGTATTATATCAATCTTGTTTATCAGAGTATCCTTAGCCTCTCTTATAGTGTTTTCCATGTAATCCACTGTCATTGAGTCAATTCTGACTCATATAGGACAGAGTACTAAGTATTTAATAAACAGCTGTTGAATGAATGAAAGAAGGGTGAAATGAATGAATGAATGATTAGTGGAAGCTAAGCCCAGAGTGAGTAGTTGGTCAAACTTAGGCAAAGGAAATTAATGAAGGTTCTGTAAAGGAGAGAGACATGATCAGAGCTGTGCTTGAGGAAGACTAACAGGCAGCAATGGAGACTGAATGAAAGGAAAAACTGTAATAAATGAGATCAACTGCAATAGTTTAGGCAAGAGCTGGTCCAGTGGGCCTATAATGAGTTGGTGAAAGTACAAAGAAGGGTACTGTGAGAACTGGTGCAAAGGAATAAATGATTAGACTTGAAACTGACTGGATGATGACTGTGAAAAAGGAGGAAGTAAATGATAACTACTATTTTGAGCTTATGCTGCCATTAAAGAGAGAAATAATGAGGAATTAGTCTCTTGGATAGAACATAAATGCATATTTAGATATGTTGTATTCAAGATTAAATATTTATTGAACACTATTTCTAGGTGCTGAAGAAAGTAAGTCAGAAAGACATGATCACTGCATTCACAGAGCCTGCAAACAGGAGATTGAAATAGCATGATAAAGCAAGGATGGAGAAGTACAAGGTGTTAGGGGAGTGGAAAAGCTTGCCAGTGGAGAGTGTGTTATACAGACCCAACCAAACCCATGGCCATGGATTCTGACTCATAGCAATCCACATTGGGCTTCCAAGGCTATAAATCTTTATGGAAATAGATTGTCTCATCTTCCTCCTGTGGAGCAGCTGGTGGGTTTGAACTACCAACCTTCTGGTTAGCAGCCAAATGCCTTATGCACTGTGCCACCAGAGCTCCCTGTGTTAAATAAGGGGGTGGGAATCAGATCTAAAATAGAATCATTTAAATTGACTTCAAAACCGTACTTCTGGAATCAAATGGGTAGAGGAACAGAGATATGAAAAGAAAACTAATTATTCTGAGTCTCCCCCCCACCCCAATCTATATTCTTTCTCCAAGATGGTCAAGATACATACAGATTATTCAGAGTGAACAGATTTTGGATTCTCAACCACAAATGCAAAGCAACTAACAAATACTTGCTGAGTCCACATAATGAATGTGAATAACTCAGAAATATGCCAACTGGCCAATTTGACTGATTTTTTAGTATATTATTCATCATCAATTTTATAATACGACAGAGTGCTTTTGCTTATTGTATCATCCAATGTTACATTAGTAAATTATAAATCTCCTAATAAAAAGAAAATTTCTCCAAAATCTCACAGAAAAAAAAAAAAAACTTTTTTTTTAAAAAAAGGTAAAAGTGAAAAATGATCAAAATCTCTCTGAAATAATTCCAGTCACTCAGGCATTCTGGGTTTTTGTCATTGTTGTTGTTGATATTTGGGGACATACCATCATACGTTCCACTTTCTAACAATGCTCCACTCTCTTCCAGTGCTTTGAACTGTTCAACAGAAATGAAATTATAGTCCACCCCTGGTACTTCCCCATCCCTGGGGGCCCTCGTAGTGCCTAAGAAGGGGAAAAAAAGAAAAAAAAAAAGTTGTAAAGTACTTTTAAACTTATGAAATAGTAATAGAAAATTCAATCTATAGAGAACACATGGGGGAAACAGACTATTAAATACATTATACCTTCAAGGAGGGTGAGAATATTTAGGCAAATTAACATTCCCAGGTGGAAGTAGGACAATAGATAATGTAGGGTGAATAAATAAACTTTAATATAATCTACAGATGGCCATGAGATTCTAAATGACAGACTCCAAAAGTCTCCAAAGTACCAAAGGAGGTTTAACTTCTTAAGAGACAACAGTTAATTCTTCCTTTAAAAATCAAATATTACTTAACAGCAGGAGAGATTAATCCATCTCTGACATAATTCATTTTTATGCTGCTATCCTATGTATTCTTTTCTTCCTCAGCATAAGTGTAAATTGTCATTCTACTTACTAAAGTTGTGAACGACACACAAAAAAAGGAGAAAACATTTTAAAAAGCTCTTTTAGAAAAACTTTATTTTTAAAATGTGCACACATATTAATTATGAAATTATTTGAAACTAATGAATAAAAAGGCTTAAAATACATATTACATATTGCTTCTTAGCCAGTATTCTCTTCAAGCAATTTCAAAAAACTAAGCAGTAAGTAAACTCTTTTTATAAAATTAAGTACCACAACAGATCAATAAATTTCTATATATTAAGGAATTCACGCTAAAGTTAAATCTTTCAGATTCAGGGTATAAATTCAGGTCATGGCAACACTGCTACATTTGAATGAATTTACTAAACAAGAATCACTTTTATGAACTGATACTAGAAATGTCATTTCAAATACTGCAGAATATGAAAAAAGGTCAGGTGTTAGTCGAGAACAGAGTTTGGGAAAAATAAGGCAGCAAGTCCTGTGCAGACACCTCCCAAACCTGTTCCTCCAGCTTTGTTTCCTATTCAAAAAGTGTCAGGCCAGCCAGAAACCTGAGAATCCTTCTAATTCACATTCAGTCACCAAATTCACCTGATTCTGACTCCTAAAGACCTCTAGAATTTACATCTCTTCATTCTCACATTCACCTAATTCAAAACATTATTTATGATTTGTATTGATGGTCTTCCCAGGCCAACTTTTGCCTCTTCCCAGAACCCAAACCGAGCCTGACTTTAACCCTAGTCCTAGCTAACACTTCTAAAATAAAAATCTGAACAAACCCAAAACAGAACAAAACCTCTCTAAACCCATCAATGGCTTCCCATCACCCTCGGCATAAAATCCCAACTCTACAACAACGTAGCTTACAGGCCCTTGGCTACCTCTCCAGCTTCTTTCTTGCCCCATCCCTTCACATTCTAGGCTTCAGCCATGATAGATTTTTCAAAAATTCTTTTAATGTTCCTGGAACTTGCTTACCTACAAGGACTTTGCCTAAGCTACTCTTTCCCTAGACAGCTGCCTGCCTATCTCTTTCTCACTCTTACTTTAACTAACCCCAAACTCATCCTTCAGGTCCTGACTTAGAAAGTTTCTTTAGAGAATCTTCACTTACTCCCATCTAACCCACTGCCCTCCAGTCAGATCCGACTCATAGAGACCCCTCCTTGGGTTTCTGAGGCCGTATCACTATGGAAGTAGATTGCCCAACCTTCCTTCCAAGAAGTGGCTGGTGGGTTTGAACTGCCAGCCTTCTGGTTAGCAGTCAAGTGCCTTAGGCACTATGCTACCGGAGCTCCCTAAGCCATATTATAGATACTACTATTAAAGTAGCACTGACCCGAGGGATAGAATGAACTCTGTTTTAGTCTTAATTTCTTATTAACAGTGTAATTTTGAGCTAGCATTTAACCTTTCTGGGCTTCACTCTTTCTCTACAAAGTGATGTAGAGCAAGATGGTTATTATGAGTTGAATCGTGTACCCCAAAAAGATATGTTGAAGTCTTAACTCTCAGTACCTGTGCATGTGACTGACCTTATTTGGAAATAGGGTCCTTGCAGATGTAATTAGTTAAGGTGACATCATTAGGGTGGAGCCTAATCTCTTTATGACTGGAGTTATAAGAAGAGAAGAGATGCAGAAAGAAGATGGTCAAGTGGTGACAAGAGCAGAGATCAAGTTACGCTGCCACAAGACAAGGTACACATGGAGCTCAGAAGCTGAGAGAGACAAGCAACGGTCTTTTAGAGCTTTTGGAAAGAGTATGGCCTTGCTGATACCCTGAATTGAGCCTCAGCCTCTAGAACTGTGAAACAATAAATTTTTGTTGGTGTAGAACACATAAACCCCAAAGCAAACTTATTGACATCAAGTCGATTCCAACTCACAGAGACTCAATAGGATAGAGTTGAACTGCTCCAAGAGGTTTCAAAGGTTATAAATCTTTAAGAAAGAAGACTGTCTCATATTTTTTCCATGGAGTAGCTGATGGGTTTAAACCAATGACCTTCTGATTAGTAGCCCAATGCTCTAACCACAGCTCTAACCACAGCTCCTAGGTCATATAGTGTATAGTAATTTGCTACACATCAGCTCTACAGGAGCTCTGGTAGCATAGTGCCTAAGACACTTGACTGCTAACCAGAAGGCTGGTGGTTCAAACCCACCAGCCACTCCTCAGAAGAAAGGTTGGGCAATCTACTTCTGTAGTGATACTGCCTCAGAAACCCAAGGAGGAGTCGCTATGAGTTGGGGTCAACTCAACAGCACATAACAACAACAACAAATCAGCTCTAGGAAACTTACATGATGATGTTCATGACTCCTTCCATTAATAGATATGAAATGTGATATGTGATTCCAACATACATATTTCTAAGACATACAAAATAGCTTTAGTTTTAATTATTTTTACAAATGTTGAGGGGTCCTGGGGTTGCAGTGGTCAAGCACTTGGCTGCTAATGAAAAGATCAGCAGTTCGAACCCACCAGCTGCTCCCCAGGAGAAAGATGTAGCAGTCTACTTCCATAAAGATTTACAGCCTTGGAAACCCTATGGGGTAGTTCGACTCTGTCCTATAGGGTTAATGTGAATCAGAATCAACCTGACGGCACTGGGTTTGGTTGGGGTTTGGGCTACAAATGTTTTCAATTTTCACTTTCTCCCCCCCAAACTACATACCCCAAACACAAAAAGTTCTCACTACTTTCAACATTCCAGAAACATTATCTTTATATTTAATCCCTGATAGTCTACATGTAAAGCTTTCTTCATCCCCTCTAGTTTCTACCTTATTTTTCCTTTTTGCTTAAGAACTCCTTCAAAGAGTTCCATTTACTATCTCTAATTCCTTGCCTCCCATTATCTACTGAGCCCATTCCACTTACTTTGTAACCCCAACCACTCCACTGAGGCAAATTCTTATGTTCATCAGTGGTCTCCACTTTGCTTAACCCAAGGGCCAAATGTCAGTCCTCATATTGCCTGATCTAGCAACAACATATGACACAAATGATCCTTACTCACTTTCTGTTTCATTCTAAAATGTATCATTCAAAAAAGTACAGTGTTTAATAAATAATAATAAAGTTAACACACCCAAATGAAAAAACAGAACATTACCAGAACTTCATTACCAGAACCTCCCCTGTGTGCCTCTGATTATAAATCTCTCTCTCCTCCACCCACCGAAGTAACTGCCATCTTGACATTTAATGATGATTATTTCCTTTCTTTCCTTTATGGATTTACCAACTAAATATGCACTCCTAAAAACCATAGCTTAGTTCTACCTTGTTTTTTTTTCTTTTAAGTTCATATGAATCAGACCATATTAATCCTTCAGTGTTTACACCACTACTTGTTGTCAGGTTTTCAAACTTTTGTCAGAATGTATAGTATATAAATGCATCTCACTGTGTATTTAATGTGCAACTACCTTATTATTAATAGTAAACATTCTTTTTTCATATATTTACTAGCCATATTGACTTCCTGGGTTGGGAGGTGGGTGTTCAAGTCTTTTGCCACTTCTCTGTTTGGTTGTCTTCTAGAAATTGATTTGTAGTTCTTTATATTCTGGATACTACCATACTTCATCAAATCTAAGTAGCCAACAGTTTATAAAATGTACTATTATTCCTAAGACAGACAGAAAAAAAAATACCCTCATAATTATCATTGAAAGATTTCATCTATTCCAAGATGTCTTCCAATTACACAGACATTAAAATGTGAAATACATGAAATAATCATGTCTTCATATTGATGAAGTACTGTAGTCCTTTGTCAGATGAAGATGTTACAAATATGTGTGGGGGGAGCACTCTGCTAAATTATGAAATATGGCTTCTTGAAAACTAGGTTTTCTATAAAACTGTGCATCAAAAATAAGAAATTATGGAGAAAATAGGTCAGGGTTGATTTCTCAAACCTACTGCAACTTTTTAACCAGAGCACTAATGAAAGCATTCATGATACTAATTGAACATGTTGTTGTTGTTGTTGTTGTTATGTCATCGAATCAGACCCGACTCATAGCGACTCCTCCTTGGGTTTCCGAGGCAGTATCACTATGTAAGTAGATTGCCCCATCTTCCTTCCGAGGAGTGGGTTTGAACCACCAGCCTTCTGGTTAGCAGTCAAGTGCCTTAGGCACTATGCTACCAGAGCTCCCAATTAAACATATTAGCACAGTTTAAAAGATATTAAATTATTTTAAATTAAATTGAAAAGAAATAAAAAGTTTAAAAGATACTCCAAATTTGGGGGGGCGGAATATAAAAACTTTATCTTTTTAAAGGAAAAAAAAAGAATGGGAAAGGAAAGTTATGAAAAGGAAAAAAGTAGTATGACAGAAAAGAGTATAAGGAAGGGTTGAGGCTACTGAGTAATGGAGACAGGGCAAAACGTACAAAGAACACCTTTAAGATGGCACAAGGTCAAACTTAAGAGGCCAAATTGAGGTGAACGGGCATTACTGGTCTGAAGGAATCATTCTTGTATGCTGCTGTCAAGTCAATTTTGACTCATGGCAGCCCTGTTTATAGTACCATATTCTTTCTTAGGAACATTCAC